TTCGCCAGCTCCTCCGCCAGCTCCCTCAGTATCCTCGGGTGGATCCCGTCTGGGCCCGTGGGCTTGTGTGGAGGAGCAGGTCGGTGACTGCCACCTCTTCGACAACTGGGGCTTCAGTCTGCATCCCATCTCCGTCTCCCAGCTCTCCCAGCCTGAAAACCCCGAGGATGACCAGTCTGACTATTAAAGACTGAGGCAAAGGCGGCATTAAGTACCTCAGCCTTCTCCTCCTCCTTCATGGCAATGTTGCCCTCCGCATCCAACAAAGGAGGGAGATGCTCCCTGGCCCTCCTTTTGTCACTGACATATTTATAGAAACTTTTTGTCTTGTCTTTAACAGCGGTGGCCAATTTAAGTTCCAGCTGCTCCTTCGCCTTTCTGATCCTCTCCCTGCGTAACCTCACAATATCCTTGGGGTCCCCCCGAGTCGCCTGCCCCTTCTTCCACCGGCGGTAGGCCCTCCTTTTTTTCCTGCGTTCCAGCCAAAGCTCCCTGTTCAGCCAGGCCGGGCTTCTCCCCCGCCTGCTCGACTTGCGAGATGCTGGCCTGTAGGTGCAAGGAGGGAGATTCTCCATCTTCTCTTCCAGCGGCCAGACCTTGGGGAACAGTCGGTCCGCAGCTGAGACAAAGACCCGCTCTGGCAAGGGGGAACAGAGCTTCTCCTCCAATCGCTGGCGCTGGCACACCAGGCCGTGGACTGTTGGCGCCTCCATGTCTGCCCAAGCCCAAAACCGAGTCGCTGGCGCACGTCCGTGTGCTCCGTACTAACATCCGCCATACAGACCGTGTGCGCCGGATGCCATCCCCATCTTTGGGGGGGCCGATTCTTGTCCGGGTCCCTGCAGAGCACCACGAATGCCCTCAGCTACCGGGTACCTTCCTCTCTGGCAGCCCCCTTACCTCGCTGGCTTACAGGATCTTCCTTCCCGCTCAGCAGGAGCCACCTCCAGAGGCGGCGGGGGGCTGGCCCTCTTCCCATCCATCAATCCCACAGTCCCCAGCAATGGATCCCAGCTCCTGCCCTTCCCTGCCTTCTAGTTCCAGCCTCTTCAGCCCCGCTCTCCCGGCATGGCAGCAACCCAATCTCCTCCCCTGCCTGATGGACCGGCTTCAAGGAGCAGCAGCTGCCCGAGCGCTCACACACCACGCGGGGAGTCGCACGCGCACCACCCGAGACTTTAACTGCTCGCACCGGAGTCCCTTCGCAGCGCGCAGCTCCGCTGAGCCCACGGGTGCCCCTGTTTCACTCCTCGCTCGCACACACGCACACACACACACACACACACACACACTCACCCTCGGGCACCTTCTCTCCCCGCCGGCTCGACCCCAGGTCTCCCCGAAGCACGGTCTCCGACACGACGTACGCCAGGGGAATTTATTGAGTGGCCCAGCGGTGAGGAGCAGCTCGAGCTGGGTGCTGCCAGGGAGGGACCCCGAACAAAGCAAGCCCTGGGCAACTGTACCCTTCCAGTCAAGCTCCCCTCCTCTCATGCGACGCTTCGGCCCAACACCAATATTTGGGTCTGGGCTCTTCTTCTTCCTCATTGGATCCTGTCCCCGTCTCCAGGCAGGACGTTCCCCAACAAGCGAGAGTCCCTCTTTAGAGATTTCAGGCTCTGGACCTCTGGAACCTTCTCTCGTCCCTGTTCCAGCAGTGGTAGAGATACCAGTGGACTCCAGAGGGGCGACCAGTCCAACCAAGAGAAGTGGCAGCAGGTCCCTGCCCCAGGCCGTATGCATGGGGGGGAAGAAGGCACTTCATAGACCGCGGGGCATGGGCCGAGGCAAGGCCGTCCCGCCTTCACGGGACTCCCTCCCTCCCCCTCGCTCCAGCTACTGTCCCGTCTTGAGTCGCTCTGCGTTGTGGTTTCAGGAACCATTGAGCACCAAGGCCTTTGGAGACATCTCCTTGCTTTGCACTAGCAGTTCTCTACAAGCGGTTCGGCGATGACCCCTGCAGGGACGGCAGGAAGAGACAGCGTCACCCAGGGCCACCTCCCTGTCCCCAACTCTCTGCTCTGGGGGGCTCGGTGACCCCCTCCCACAACCCAGTGTTGCTCCAGTTGCAGAAAACACAGAGAGCTGGGCCCACCCCGACCATGC